TTGATTGACCGGCAACCTCCATTCCCATAGATTCCGGATGAGAGGGACCAGGCAGGGGGGTCTCACGTAAGGGTAACGTGGGACCTGAGTGGTTGTCAATAATGATTGATGCGACGGGCACCGACAGGGCAGTGTGATGAGCACGGATCTCACGGTGGTGAATAGTCATTGGGACAGAGCCAGGACGGGGGCCAGGTGCGGCGAGAGATGGCTCGGGAAGAGGGTTTTTAAAAGCCGGCGTGGAACAGGGCTCTGGCTGCTGCGCTCCTACTACTGCTGCTGCTACTGATACTTCTGCTGCTACTGCTGCTGTTACTGCTGCTACTGCTGCTGCTGCTACTGCTGCTACTGCTACTACTGCTGCTGCTACTGCTGCTGCTGCTGCTACTGCTGCTACTGCTGCTGTTACTGCTGCTGCTGCTGCTGCTGCTACTGCTGCTGCTGCTACTCTGCTCTGCTGCTACTGCTGCTGCTGCTACTGCTGCTACTGCTGCTACTGCTGCTGCTACTGCTGCTGTTGTTGTGGGGGAACCAAGAAGCTGTCGTCACCGTCGTCATCTTGGAGCGGGTCGTCTTCGTCGTCCTGGAACGGGGGCACCTTGTGCTCTTGGAGAGTGACGGTGTCTCCTTCCGCTCCTGTGTAGCCAGCCAACTACACGGGAGCGTCGCGTAGAAGTTACCCAGCTGTGTCTGTAGTCAACTCGCGGTTACTCGTTAAGTTAGCGGCGAGTCGGTGGACTTGATGAATGACTAGCGGTAAGTACCCCGTTGCCCGGGCAACAGACACACACATCGACCCACACACCACAAACATCGACTTACACAGACACACATATGGACTCGCACACACACACATACGTAGACTCTCACACATACATCGACCTAAGCATACATATGGACTTACACACAATATCGACTAAGAGATACACATGGACCCACGCACACATCGACTCACACATACACACAGACATACATATGGACGTACACAGACACATATCGACGCACACACACATGGACTGTCACACACAGACACACTGCCGTACACACATCGACTGACACACAGACTCCACACAAACCCATCGACTCACACACGCACATAGAGCCACACACACATGAACTTACGCACACACACACACGCACAGACATGTACGTATACATGGCAACAACCGCCATTCGCCATTAAATTCATAATAAATGTACATCTGACTGAACAAGGTGTCTCTGGAAGCTGCTACATTACACATACTTTACAATGTAAGTGTAAAATATACTTGCACATTGCAGCACCTTTGCATTTCGCCAAGGACATCCGTAAGTGTTTGCGGTTGTGTGGTTGTGGATTCGATCTTGGCCCTGACGCCTGCTGTCTATTTGGAGTCTGCGCGTCTCTCTCTCACTCATCATCATCACGGTGGCTAGGAGATGTTAACTACCTCGCCTGGTATACAAGAGGTCGTGGGTTCGATCCCGACCCTGATGCCTGTTGTCTATATGGAGTCTGCGCGTCTCTCTCTCTCTCTCTCCCGGCGATCTCATGGACGTTTCTCCGATTCTTCCCGTTTTTCCCTCCACATTTCGAATGAATGTGCGTTTTGATTATTTGTTGACTGCTAGGAATTTCCACGCGATGATTACCCACCCTTCGTTGGCTCGCCATCGTGTGAAATTTTGAAAAAGAGCCAGAGAGCTCGGTGGACCTTACCTGGTAAAATAAAAACTAGTTTAATAGTTTTAACACTGTGAAGAGGGGAGCACCGAGAACCATCGTCATTCTCCCTCCGGCTTTAATCGCCGCCGCGGCAAACACGATCGCCGACGACGGATTGTGACGCCGAACGTCTTTGCGTTTGTCCTTCCGCGGGGACGCCAGGTGCGAGCGCAGAGCTGCGGTGCCAGGAGGACGGACTGTGGTCCCTGCCGGAGGCGTACTGCCAGCTGACGTGCCGGGCCCCGCCGCCCATGGCCAACGCCGTGGCGCGCACCGACCGCTGCAAACACGACGGACAGGAGGTCGGCTCCTCCTGCAAGTATCGCTGCGAGCCGGGACACCACGTGCCGCTCACCAGTCGCAAGTAAAGCCCGCTTCCACACCTCCCGCTACCCTCGGCACACCAGCACCCCGCCACGGTCATGGAACGCGAGCAGACGTGTGTGCTCACAAACACCGTGCCCTGGGTGCACGTCACGCGCACGTGTGGGGCGCTCAATGCCGGAATCATCGTTCCAAATGTTGGCAAATGTTAAGGATTGGCTGTGTCCCCACGTACGTGTGTAATACACCTTTCTACAAACGCATCGCGATTATTTTGCAGTCATAAATTTGCGCGGTTGTTTTCGTCACGTGACAACAATATCCTGGAGTCTACAAACTAAGTTGCACCTGTAGGGCTGTTACATTGGGGAAACGAAACGACAAGGAAGATCTGAAACACGGCAGAACCAATACCTCCGCGTGGCTGACCATCGCTATGACGCTGTGGGCTCTCCTAATATTGTTTTTTCCGAGACCAGGGTACTCTGCAAACCTTCGGGCTACTATCAAAGGTTTGTTCATGAAGCCATCCAGATATATAAACATAGACATAACATCAACCGAGAAGATGGATACAAATTGAGCGATCATTGGAATGATGTTATTAACCAGGTTAAAACCTTCACTGCTTCTTACCTATATAGCCTCTTGTCACGACAGCCCTTTTGCCCACTTCAGCGATTGTTTCTTGCTGTGCTTGTCCCACCTGATGACGGCCTTACCGAAAGAGCCAAAGAGTATGGATCCCTGCAGTCACGAAAACTTCACATCAAGATTGTTTCACTGCTGTCATTTGTGGCAAGGTCACTTCTGAAAAAGAGCGACTACAGCTCCGTGGACCTTACCTGGGGAAGAAAAAAATGTTTAATAGTTTTAGATGGCGAGCACACACACACACGTGCGCACAGCCAACACGCTCGCAAATCACCCGGCTCCTGCCGCCGCCCGCCCCTCCCCCAGGGGGTTCAAGGTGAGGTGCACGGACAGTGGCCACTGGGAGGAGGGCGGCTGCGTGCCCGTGCAGTGCCCCCCGCTGCCGCCAGTGCTGCACGGCTCCTACACGTGCACGCAGCGCTGGCAGCTCGGCTCCCGCTGCTGGGTCAACTGCAGCACCGCCAGCGCCAGCAAGGTCCCGCACACCTCGCACGAGCACAAAGATCCCCCCCCCGCCCCCACGTAGCCTCGACGGACTTGTTGTTGGGGGCACGTGCTGTCAGCACGAGGGGGTCGGTGGGCAGCAGCGCGCCCGGCCGCGTCTGTGTCTCTGGCGTGGCGATGGTGACCACACGCCGCCGCGCCACACACTCGTGGCCTGGGGGAGGCCCAGCACCGCTTCAGATAATCGTCACTGGCGTTGGCTGTGAACAGGAATCAAACTCAGGTCGCCGGGTTTGTAGCGCAGCGCGCACACGCACACACACATTTACAGTGACACACACACACAGTGACACACACACACACTGACACACACACACAACAACAACAACCGCCATTCGCCACTAAGTGGCGGTGACGTCACCACGATGCTTGTGCCAGGCCAAGTGCACCTTGAGGCCACGTGAAGTGTCGAAAGCCCGCTGGCAGGAGGTCACGGGGCAGACCCAGGTGCCACGGGTCGACTGACCGAGATGACCGAGATGACTGGCTGATGCACCACCTGTGCCCCCTACTGTGCCAACTTGCTGTGCTTTAGCCACCCGGCGCTCCGCTCGTTGTTGTGAGCGTCGCTCCTCCGCCCTCCGTTGTTGTGGAGGGCGACTGCCTCCAACTGCCCAGTAGCGTCCTTCACGAGCCTCCTCCACTGAGGCCGATCTTGACACCGCTGGTACCAGTCATCGGCAAGTCCACTCAGCTCCACGTCCTCCTGTACCACATCACTCCATCTCTTCTCCAGCCCGTGCCGCGCCCGTCTAGCCCCCTCGATCCGGCCGAACAAAAGCTGTTTAGGCATGCGGTGGCTGGGCATGCGGGCTACATGACCCAGCCAACGCAGCCTTGCCTGCCGGAGGAGCTCACTGATGGGACTTTGCCCAGATCTTTCAAGGATTTGTGAGCTCCTCACACAATCCAGCCTGGTTAAACCCAGGATGGATCGTAGGCAGGCCAGCCTAAATGTTTCCAACCGGCGAAGATGCTCCACCAGGGGGGTCCACGTCTCGCAAGCGTAGAGAAGGGAGGGAATGACCGTGGCCGAGAAGACCTGAAGCTTCGTGGAGCGACAGACCAGGTAGCTTCCACACAGCGTTACGCAACCGATGAAAAGATATTGCCGCTCGACTGATTCGGAGTGAGACCTGCTGATAGACTGGAGCCGGTCATAAGCACACTGCCCAGGTATGGGAAACTCTCCACTCTCTCCACAACTGCCCCATCACCAATTGGGAGTTGTGGGGTGGAGTGTCCGATGGTACAAAATACCCAGGCAGGTGCTTAGTTTTGGTGGGGCTGATGGTAAGGCCCCACCTCTTAGTGGCACGCTCCAGTCTCAGCAGCAGCGCCTCCAACTCCTCTTCTGAATGAGCAGCTATTACCAAATCATCGGCATACATAACGTGGTTGACCAATAGGGAGCCATCCCTTGATCGCACCCGGGCGTCGATCAGCCTCCCATTATATCTGTACCAAATGGAAATTCCCCCGGTACAGCTATTGAAGGCTTCACGAACTACGCGGTCAAAATAGATGTTAAATAATGTGGGAGCCAGAGGACATCCCTGTCGCACCCCAAGGTGTACAGGGAAAGGCTCCGACTCCCGGCCACGTAGTTTTACCCGGGCCCGCTCACCATCATGAAGGTCCTTAATGATCGTGAGCAGAGGGTCAGGGACTCCGAAAGCACGAAGAACAACCCAGAGCCCAGTCCTACTGATGGTATCATAGGCTTGACCAGGTCAATAAGCAGAGATGTAGGTCTTTTTGGAATTCCCTACACCTCTGCTGTAGCAGACGGACAGAAAATATGGCATCTGTGCAGGACCGCCCTTTCCTGAAACCGCATTGGGGCTCCGCAAGCCTCTCCTCAGCGTGCCTAGCAAGGCGATGTTGAATAATCCTTGCCAGGACCTTACCCGGCACACTGAGGAGTGAGATGCCCCTGTAGTTGTTACAGTCGGTACGGTCCCCCTTCTTAAAGAGGGGAACCACCAGGGCATCCTTCCAGTCCTGCGGAACCCGTCCAGTGGTCCAGACTGTTGTTATGATGTCATATAGGGCAGTCTGTGCACAACGCCACCCTCCCTCAGCATTTCGCTTGGGAGATCATCTCTGCCCGGTGCCTTCCTGGTCTCAGACTCCGGATCGCCTTCAGTACTTCCTCAACAGATGGCACCTCAGCCAGCCACTCACAGGGGGTGACCTCTTCCAATATTTGAGGCACCGCAGCCTCAGCAGGGTTATCACCACTTTGTGCCATGATGTTTTCCTGGCTGAGAGAATTTCCCTCCCCCAGGACCTCACAGAAATGCTCAGCAAATCTGCAAACCTGTTCCTGGGGGTCGGAGATTGGATCACCGTTTTTTCCTCTAATGATGGTAATAGGTGTGGCGCTGCAGGTTACTTTTTTGATGGAGTTAAATAGTGATTTGTGATCACGGGCCACTGAGGCAGACTCCATCTCCTCAGCAACCCGCGACCACCACCCATCCTTACAGCGCCTGACGGCTCTCCGAACTTCTGAGCGAAGGCTGCGGTAAACCTCCTCATTCTCTGACGTGGGATGCTGTAGGCGATGAGAGTGGGCCTGACGCTTTTTCTCAATTAACCTGAACACCTCCTCTGTCAGCCAGGGTTTCTGGGGAGGTCTGGACCGCGTACCCAAAGCAGCCATTGCAGCTGCATGAGTCACAGTCTTAAACCTCGCCCATTTCCCTCGACATCAGGTGGAGTGGGGGACGATGCCAACCCCAGCTGCAAGCGATGATGAAATTCTCGCTTGCAACTTTCATCAGCTAACTGAGACCAGTCCACTTTTGGTTGGAATGGGATCCTGGGTGTACACCCACCACCGGAGTGGAAGAAAGGCAGGCGCATCTTACAGATGACTAGTCGATGGTCAGAGGACAGATCAGCTCCACGGTAGGTCCTGGTGTCAAGGACATGGGCTCGCATCCGCTGGTCCGTCACTATGTAGTCCAGCAGATGTTCTTGCTTGGACCCGGCATGTATCCATGATGTTGTGTGGATGCGCCGATGCCGGAACAGCGTGTTGGTAATTACAAGCCCATGGGCTGCACAAAAATCTAGCAGCCTCCTACCGTTATTATTGAGCTGATCTGGCCCATGCCTTCCAATCACTCCAGACCAGGTACCAGCATCATGACCAACTCGGGCATTGAAGTCACCCAACAAGATGACTCTGTCCCGAGTGGCCACTTTAGCCAGCACCTGTGACAGGAGGTCATAGAAAGAGTCTGACTCATCGGCTTTGCCTGCATCCCTCCACGGATGTTCGTCTTCGGTGGGGGCATAAGTAACCACGACCACCACTCCTCGCCTCTGGTTGATGGGAAGGCGAGCCCAAAGTATCCTGGGGCTTACAGCTTCCCACACCTCACCGCCACGCTCCCACGCCCCCTTCATTCTTTTGTTCAGAAGAAGAGCCACACCCTGTTGTTTGGCAGTCTCCTGCCCCGAGTAGAGGACTGTCCACCCCTCATGGTGGCAGGAGCCAGAACCGGTCCACCGGACCTCCTGAATGCCACAGAGATCCAGGCGGTACCGGTCCAGCTCCCGACAGAGGAGTGGCAGCCTCTCCTCCGCAGTGAGCGTTCGAACATTCCACGTGGCCATCCGCAATGGTTTTTTGTTGTTTCTGGAGGAGCCCCGAGGGTGAAAATTCAATCTCCTGGCTCCGCCAAATGGGGTTTGGCCAGGAGACGTCATAAAAGCCTGACCCCCCGGGGCCTCCGGCACAAGCTTATTTGTTTCAGGTTTATGTTTAATTCGTGGTTTAGTGGTGGTTAATTGAAGGTGGAGGGGTTACCAGCCCCTCACACCCGTCCAGAGCCCCCGTTTAGCCACTGTGGTGGTCATGGCGTCTGTGACACACACACACACACAGTGACACACACACACACACAGTGACACACACACACAGTGACACACACACACACATTTACAGTGACACACACACAGTGACACACACACACAGTGACACACACACACACAGTGACACACACACACATTTACAGTGACACACACACACACATTTACAGTGACACACACACATTTACAGTGACACACACATTTACAGTGACACACACACACAGTGATACACACAACAGTGACACACACACAGTGACACACCACACATTTACAGTGACACACACATTTACAGTGACACACACACACATTTACAGTGACACACACACACATTTACAGTGACACACATTTACAGTGACACACACATTTACAGTGACACACATTTACAGTGGCACACACATGAACAGTGACATACACATTTACAGTAACACACACACACATTTACAGTGACATACACATTTACAGTAACACACACACACATTTACAGTGACACACATTTACAGTGACACACACACATTTACAGTGACACACACATTTACAGTGACACACACATTTACAGTGACACACACATTTACAGTAACACACACATTTACAGTGACACACACATTAACAGTGACACACACATTTACAGTGACACACACATTTACAGTGACACACACATTTACAGTGACACTCAGATTTACAGTAACACACACACATTATACAGTGACACACACACATTTACAGTAATACACACACACACATTTACAGTGACACACACACACATTTACAGTAACACACACACATTTACAGTAACACACACACAGTGACACACACACAGTGACACACACACAGTGACACACACAGTGACACACACATTTACAGTAACACACACACATTAACAGTGACACACACATTTACAGTAACACACACACATTAACAGTGACACACACATACATTTACAGTAACACACACACATTTACAGTGACACACACATTTACAGTAACACACACACATTAACAGTGACACACACATTTACAGTAACACACACACATTTACAGTACACACACATTCAGTGACACACACACATTTACAGTAACACACACACATTTACAGTAACACACACATTAACAGTGACACACACATTTACAGTAACACACACACACACATTAACAGTAACACACACACACATTTACAGTAACACACACACATTAACAGTGACACACATTTACAGTGACACACACATTACAGTGACACACACATTACAATAACACACACACATTACAATAACACACACACATTAACAGTGACACACACACATTACAGTGACACACACACATTTACAGTAACACACACATTTACAGTAACACACACACATTTACAGTAACACACACATTTACAGTAACACACACACATTTACTAGTGACACACACATTTACAGTAACACACACATTACAGTGACACACACACATTTACAGTGACACACACACATTTACAGTGACACACACATTAACAGTGACACACACAACATTTACAGTAACACACACACATTTACTAGTGACACACACATTTACAGTAACACACACATTAACAGTGACACACACATTTACAGTGACACACACACATTTACAGTGACACACACACATTTACAGTGACACACACCACATTTACAGTGACACACACACACATTTACAGTGACACACATTTACAGTGACACACACATTTACAGTGACACACACATTTACAGTAACACACACACACATTTACAGTGACACACACACATTTACAGTGACACACACACATTTACAGTGACACACACATTTACAGTGACACACATTTACAGTAACACACACATTACAGTGACACACACATTACAGTGAACACACACATTAACAGTACACACACATTTACAGTACACACACACATTACAGTGACACACATTTACAGTGACACACACATTTACAGTGACACACACATTACAGTGACACACACATTTACAATGAACACACACATTAACAGTGACACACACATTACAGTGACACACACACATTTACAGTGAACACACATTTACAGTACACACACATTTACAGTAACACACACATTTACAGTACACACACACATTTACAGTGACACACACATTTACAGTACACACACATTACAGTGACACACACACATTTACAGTGACACACACACATTTACAGTGACACACACACATTACAGTGACACACACACACATTTACAGTAACACACACATTTACAGTGACACACACATTTACAGTACACACATTACAGTGACACACACACATTTACAGTGACACACACACATTTACAGTGACACACACACATTTACAGTGACACACACACATTTACAGTGACACACACACATTTACAGTGACACACATTTACAGTGACACACACATTTACAGTAACACACACACATTTACAGTGACACACCACATTTACAGTGACACACACATTTACAGTGACACACACATTTACAGTGACACACATTTACAGTAACACACACACATTATACAATGACACACATTAACAGTGACACACACATTAACAGTGACACACACATTTACAGTGACACACACATTTACAGTGACACACACATTTACAGTGACACACATTTACAGTAACCACACACATTATACAATGACACACATTAACAGTGACACACACATTAACAGTGACACACACATTTACAGTGACACACATTTACAGTGACACACACATTTACAGTGACACACACATTTACAGTGACACACATTTACAGTAACACACACATTATACAATGACACACATTTACAGTGACACACCACATTAACAGTGACACACACATTTACAGTGACACACACATTATACAGTGACACACAGATTTACAGTAACACACACATTTACAGTGACACACACACATTTACAGTGACACACATTTACAGTGACACACACACACATTTACAGTACACACACATTTACAGTAACACACACACACATTTACAGTAACACACACACACATTTACAGTGACACACATTAACAGTGACCACACACACATTAACAGTGACACACACATTTACAGTATGACACACACACACATTTACAGTAACACACACACATTTACAGTAACACACACACATTTACAGTGACACACATTAACAGTGACACACACACACTTAACAGTGACACACACATTTACAGTATGACACACACACATTTACAGTGACACACACACATTTACAGTAACACACACACACATTTACAGTAACACACACACACATTTACAGTGACACACATTCAGTGACACACACACCATTAACAGTGACACACACACATTTACAGTATGACACACACATTTACAGTATGACACACACACATTTACAGTATGACACACATTTACAGTGACACACACACACATTTACAGTGACACACACGCACTCGAATATGCACTAAGTTTCACGGGGACCTCCTGTGGCTGTTATTGTTTTTCCCGGGGGCCATTTATACGTTCAGTGCCTTCCCTTGAGCGTGTTTGCAACCTCCCCTTTCTGATGCCTTAGGAATGACACTGTAACTGTCGTACAGGAATTGCACGCAATGGTTTACATGGTTTTGGAAACATGGAATGCTGGAAAAATAAAATGGTTACAATAGTGGAACAGTGCGCCAAGAAGTGTGGATAGGTGCGTGCACGGCGCAGGTTGGATGCACCATGCTAGCGGCTGGGAGCAGCACGTGGGCTTGGGCAGGAGGCCGTCACCGCGTGGGATGATGGCCTCGTGACGGTCGAGATTCATGACGGATTGGCAGCCAGGTGAGGGGACCGGGGAGATGGAGCGGAAAAGACAGCTGGCGTGTGTGAGTACGAGATGGATTGCCACATTGCAGGACCAAGGGATGATGAAGGCTTGGGGGGGGGGGAGAGGCCTTCATCCAGCATTGAATTGACTGAAGATGATGATGAATGCATCAGCTGATTTATCATATTTGGGTATTGCCAAACTCATGATGTGATTAGATGCCTCGAGGCATTGCAATTGATGTTACTCATGAGTTGACAAGTGTGCGCGTGTGTGTGTGAAAGATCTGGGCAAAGTCCCATCGGTGAGCTCCTCCGGCAGGCGAGGCTGCGTTGGCTGGGTCATGTAGCCCGCATGCCCAGCCACCGCATGCCTAAACAGCTCTTGTTTGGCCAGATAGAGGGGGCTAAACGGGCGCGGCACGGGCTAGAGAAGAGGGAGTGATGTGGTACAGGAGGACGTGGAGCTGAGTGGACTTGCCGATGACTGGTACCAGCGGTGTCAAGATCGGCCTCAGTGGAGGAGGCTCGTGAAGGACGCTACTGGGCAGTTGGAGGCAGTCGCCCTCCAACAACAACGGAGGGCAGAGGAGCGACGCTCACAACAACGAGCGGAGCGCCGGGTGGCTAAAGCACAGCAAGTTTGTACAGTAGGGGGCACAGGTGGTGCATCAGCCAGTCATCTCGGTCATCTCGGTCAGTCGACCCGTGGCACCTGCTGGGTCTGCCCCGTGACCTCCTGCCAGCGGGCGTTCGACACTTCACGTGGCCTCAAGGTGCACTTGGCCTGGCACAAGCGTCGTGGTGACGTCACCGCCACTTAGTGGCGAATGGCGGTTGTTGTTGTTGTGTGTGTCTCTGTATTGGACCAGCAGAACCACACAGTGATCCGGTGCAGCAAGAATGGACGCTGGAGTGGGGAACTGCAGCTGTGCCCGCACGAGCAGGGCGAGTGCACCGCCCCGGACCCTCCGTTCATCATCACATGCGACTGCCCTACCGGATACGGAATAGGTAACGGCGTAGCTGGCTTCTCAAACATATTTGTATATTTTGTTGAGTATTTATGGGGTTATGGGGGTAGTAGCACAGCAGCGGTAGACACGCCTCGAATGGATGTGTGTGAAAAAGAGCTTCGTAACTCATCGGATTCTTCCAATATAAATGAATATTCTGATTCTGTGTGTGTGTGTATAGTGGGAGTGATACTGATCACCCACCCCCTCATGGTGCTCACTGACAGCACTTGCCCTGCAGTCTTTTGAGACTATACCGGTGATCTTCTTCCATAGCTGTAGTGTCGTGGGCAGCGTGCAAACCGGCAACCGAGTTCGTTTCCGGCTTGCGGCTAATATTCAGCGACGAATATCTGAACCAGTCCTGGGCCTCCACTGGGTCAACTCAGCCTGAATGAGTACTTGGTGTGTGACGTGTGAGCAGGCGTGGTGCTGACCACCCACCCCCCCCCCCCGGCCTTCATAGGTGCTCACTAGCAGAACTTGCCCAAGCAGCTTGCTAAAGGCTATATTTTTGCTTTTATATATACAAGGTGGCACTGGAACATTGAGATTATTTGGTTTGAAATCCACAGAAAGAAAATTTGAAAAAAGAAAGAAAATTTGAAAAACGTCTTTTTTCTAATTTTCTTGCGGTGGATTTCACACCTGATGATGATTGCTGCTTGTGTTGCAGTCGAAACGTCGTGAGAATTTTTTTGTTTTATATTCAATTATTTTATTATCTCCCTTCTACGTGACTTTACCGAAAGAACCAAGAACACACGTTTGAATGTAGAACCAAACGATGGGACAACAGCTGGTGAACAATGTTGTACATTGTACCTGAGAAATGTATCAACCAAATAATCTCAATGTTCCAGTTCCACCTTGTATATATATAATAAAGACAAAGATTCCCCCATAGAGCCTTTAGCAAGCTTCCCCATCGTTTGGTTCCACATTCAAACGGGAGTTGCTTTTAATTGAAATTCTCTCTCGCACCTCCCCGCGAGTTTTGCGTCTTGGGTTTGGGCCTGTGCGTGTCTGTTCGGCACGGCGGTTCCAACACTTCACCCGACGTGTCGGGGGCTTCTTCGGGGGAAGTGAATGAAGAAGGTCCCAGCACGTGGAGTGAAACGTCGGGCATCGTGCCAGGCTAAAAGGCACGACGGGCAAAACTCAGAAGACACAGCGGAGAGAGCTTTGTGTCGTAACCTACGCGGTGGCAAATCCACTTGCAGTTGCCACTTGCTGCTGCTACGTGTGTGTGTCTGTGTGTGTGTCTCTGTGTGTGTCTCTGTGTGTCTGTGTGTGTGTCTCTGTGTCACTGTGTGTGTGTCACTGTGTCTCTGTGTGTGTGTCACTGTGTGTATGTGTGTGTGTCTGTGTATATGTGCCTGTGTGTCTGTGTGTGCCACTTGTAGCTTTACAAAGGAGAGTAAATTTGCTCCATTTTTTTTGTTCACTTTTCTTGAAGGGGGATTTTCCAAATCGTTGTGCTCGTGGGGGAATAAAAAAATGCCACCTTGTCAATCGAAGTTTTCCAGTTTCTTAAAAAGCTTCGGCTTTACAACGATTGGTCGGTCAAGGTGTTGCCCACTCCGTCTCTCTGCTCAGAAGGTCCATTGCCCCGACATATCAGTCTCCTCCTGTACAGATTTGTTCCCGTTGTAAGGCAACGGTCATCACGAAAGTGTGGAGAGAAGTTTTTGAAACTGTCACCCTCGCAATCGCCGCAACTGCCAATCTCGGCGCTCTATCCATTAGGCGCACGAATCGATCTCATCTTTGGCCGCCCCACGGCACAGCCCCGAATCTCTGCCGCCGGACCGCACTCCGTGACGCTTGTCATTTCGTGCGGAAGAACATTTCACTTTAGTGGGGAACAACAGTCGGTCGTAATTATGATCATTTTAATTCAAAGGGTGCCCTTAATTTGATCCCAGAATACCAAGCGTGTTAAAGATGAATGACTCAGTGCGAGGTAATGAGGGAGAGAATGACTCGAGGGACAAGATGGAGGACTCGAGAGAGAGGCCCTTTGAAACAGGACGGGTCTTCCGCAGGGACTTAGAAGCAGAGGTCGCAACCGGGTACCCGATACCCGCACCCTACCCGATACCCGGCTACCCGTACCCGGCCGGGTAGCCGGGTATCGGGTATCCGTTTGCGACCCTGGTGCGGCCGGGTACGCGTAGACCGTGAGTCACAGGTGAGTCACCGTTTGTCGCTCATTTCCCAACGTCTTGTCTCTTCTCACAATTCAAGTTCCTAGAATCAACCCACCCGCGCCTGCAACATGGCTTCGTCCCAGAGGTCACAATCGGATACCCGATACCCGTACCCTACCCGTACCCGTACTCTACCCGTACCCGGCCGGTACGGGTAGGGTACGGGTACGGCCGGGTACGGGTACCCGTTTGCGACCCTGGTGCGGCCGGGTACGGGTAGGGAATCAAAACCCGTTTGCGACCTCTGCTTAGAAGGTCTCCATTGACTCTTTTTGAGCTCCGAGGGCACACTCGGGGCGCCGTGCAGACACAAAATCTCGATCGCTACAGATTCCGAGTCGTCCAACGGCAAGCGCCTCGTGACGGTGAACGTGTATGTGTTTAACTGCTTTAGCAACGCACGTAGCACGCCATGCTCATCGGAAGTACGGCGGGGGGGGGGGGTGTGAGGACAACAAACTAAACACAAGAAGCAGTTCAACATCTACACGTGATGACGACGATGGCGGTGGTGATGGTGGTTTGGTGTCTCCCTGTTGCCAGGATCCGTGTGCAAAACAAGCTGCCTGATCCCACACAGCGACTCCGTTTTGCTCCCTGAGAATGTCACCGTCCCGGAGAAGATCACCGCCCCGTCTGCCGCACTGGTGGACACTCCCCACCAAAGTTGAGGTCGGTCCTTTCTTGAAGCCGCGCGTGAGGATTTGCGTGCGGTGGGCACCCCCTCCCCCCCAACCTTTTCCCGTTCCGATGGCGTACGCACGTGTCACGTGTGCGCCATCGGTTCTTTACAATTCCATTCTGTGGACGCGTGTGTGATTCCGCGATGACGTTCGTACACGTCAAGCCATGCGGGCGCGTGGGGCACGGTTTTGCGCCAGCTATCGCAGAGTGAGTTTGTGTCGCTACAGTTCTCTGCATTGTGTTAAAAAACAGTGGCGCTATAACTCTCCAAATACCATTAACACTGAACCGCTCGCATGTTCTGAGATTGGGCGGTGAATGGGACTCCACCACCCTGCAACTTGGAGACATCTCAGACACGGGAACAGGTTAAATGCCTCAGCAGCTGCAAGCGCCTTGCGTCACTCACACCTCGTCTCAACAATCCCAGTGCTCTGCTGCTGCAGGTTTACGCGCGAGTCTGCCAGCGCGGCAGTGGTGTTGCGATATGGTTTTTCTCGATGAAGTACATTGTGAGAAGTTTCATGTGCCAGTGCACACACAACCTCTGTTTTGCGTGACCTCACGGGGGATCTTGAGGGTCCACTGCGAAACAAACGGTGCCATCTTCCTTCGGTCGGTAAAAACCCCCGTGATTAACCAGGGCGGTCCATGGGCTTGAAGCGCGAAAATCTGCAAGCAACGGAAAATGCGCTGCTGGTGCTGCTGAGCCATGTCACCTTGTGTGACATTGCGAGGATGTTTTTTTCGTCTGCATTCTTGAAACCAAGCTTTCTTGATTTGTTTTACAGTTGGCTTTAGACGGCTGCAGCGTTGGTTTAAATCACGGCGCGCTCCAGTTATGTCGGTATGAAGGTGTGTTCACGTTTTCATTGCACGCCTGCATCTCCGTTATGAAGGGGAGGATAAATGGTTTTAAACCAAACGAAAGTCGCTCAAGTTGAGTTCTACACTTTTGTGACAACGTGCGACAGCAGTCGCTTCCACGGTGCATCGACTGATCCTCTATTAATATCGATTCTGCGAAATCCGCTTTCGAGGGCCGTTCTCTCAAGCGCACCTGCGATGAACGCCGTTGGCTACGTACGACGTGAAACAAGTTGAGCATCCACACGAGACCCGCTTAAAGCCGTGCGGTGGTAGCGGCAGCAATGGCGTCGTCACCAGCAGTTGCAGAACGCAAACAACATCCGTATGCAGCGACACACTCGGAGAGACAGGGAAGTAGGAGGCACTCTGTTTATTAGCAGCCTTCACGAGCTACAAGGGGCAACAACAACAACAACACACCCCCAGTCAGGATGGCCGGCAGACCGCCGGACTGACGACGCCCGAGAAGGTGAAGACATCGACGAAGACTCCATCAGCACGACGGGGGGATCCCACTCCAAGCGACAGCCCCGAGCTTCCGTTCTGGGTCCACTTTTATCCTCCCGGCCACGCCCCCTTCTAGAACGTACCAGCGGGTTCCCGGGCTCACCTCACGTGCCCCCCCCCCCTGTCACCTTTCCCCGACACCCTCTCTCTGACTTGTCACGTGACCTGCCGACAGGCAGGGCTGCTGTTGCTGCTGCTGCAACTGCAGATTCTCCCCCTTCTCTGGCAGCAACCCGCGCTGTGCTGCGTAGTGACCCGTTCCATGTCATTGCACTTTTCTAAATACATTAACGCCCCCTGCATGCACCCCCCCCCCACCGCCTCGGGTCCCTCTAACTGTAGGCGCACAGTGATTGCATCACCTTTCTCTATTCAAGACGGGAAACAGGTTGGAATGTTGAGACGATGCGCAAACGACGAGCTCGATTGCGAACGTGGCGGGGCGTTTGCTCTCCCAACACGCAACTGGACGGGGGGGGCTGAAGCAGTGACAAGTTGTGTTGGATCTATGCCCTGTTTTCCGTTATTAATATTAAGAATAATTAAGAAAAAAAAATTATTTTTGTTTTTATTATATCTATATTTGTTTTAATAATGAGGACGGCTCACTTCTCCTCACGGGCACACCGGGAGTCCATGAGACATGGAGGGCGGTTGAAATGATAGGAATTCGGTCACAAGAGGTCATAGACATCCAGACGGACAAAAAGATGTATGGACTAAACCTCCAAGACATCTGGAGATGTACAGATAAGGTGCAGAGTGAATAACGGTTGAAACTTCGCGTTTTCTTAACGTTTCCCTCACCGAAAAGTAGAAACTTAACAAAGATAATTAACCAACAAACAATAATATTTTTACTATTATTATATGTTTCCTACTTACACGACCTTCCAAAAAAACTAAAGAGTACGAATTCCAGAAAGCTTAAGTGCATGTGCACTTAACCTCAGGACATAAAAAAATTAACTCACAATAAAACACCAATCTCTGGAGAACTAAACTTGGCGAAGCCCAAAATAATAATGTGACGAGGATCATGGCGAATATTCATTAAACATAGACGAATGATAACCACGATACTAAGACCGAAGGAACTCATAAAATATAATTCAAGAATAAATGTAACACACAGGACCACATAAATGTATTGCAAACATCTCCTCGACCACCTTTGTCTTCCAGCGGGGTCTGACCTCAGAATGACCCACCCAGGGTAAGCAAGGAGGGAGCAAAAGGTCACAAGGGGGGGGGGGGTTTGTGCTGACATTGGTTGTTTTCTTCTCGCAAGAGACGCGGAGAGAGGAGTGACTGCTCGCGTGTTTGAGTTAAGCACGGCCGTCTTTGTCTCCCCGCAGCACAAACAGATGGCCCATGAATACTTGGAGGGTTAGGAAGGTCGCGAGGAGGGGACGCGGTGATGTCTGCTTTCTCGCACTGTTTAGGTTGTTGTCTCTCGCAAAAGAAAGAGGAGGGTGATCGCGTTTTGAGCACAAACAGCAAGATTTGCACACGCAAGCAAAATAACATTCCCCACCCCTCCTCCCAGAATGGTTACACCGCTGGGTCTTTACTAATAAACGCACACGCACACGAAACACACGAACGCAGATGTGTTCAACCCACAGAAAGATATATGACGGCCTTCAAACAACTCGGGAAGATTGAGTGGATTTTCTGATATAAGCCGGGGAAAAATCCATTCAACTCAGATCGACAGGGGCTCTGGCCCCCACCACAGATCTCCAGGGCTTCGGCTCCATCTCTTCTCGTCGACGCCAACGAAGAAGCTTTTCGTCATACAGAAGGACAGGTTCGCGCGGTGAAGTAAAGCTGGCAGCCGCACGAACAAGGGGAACACGGAGCAGAGAGAGAGTGACGAGTGACGACAAGCAATCAACCTGTAAAAGGGCAGAGATCGCCAAGCGTCGACCAAGCGAGCAAAGCAGAGCGCGAAGCAGTGGAGGAAGCCTGGTCAAACGGCTGCGAGGGAGAGGACAGCGCCATCGAATGCGCCGTGTGCCTGAGGGCACACCGACCAACGACCAGTGTGACACACAAGACGTCCAGAGCGACGGCGAGCATCGTGCCGACTCAACAATCAATCGAGCAGTGGAGAAGCCGGGGGCTGCCACCAAGAAAGCGCGTGCGCCCCTTGCGCCACCGTGCGCCAGCTTGCGCCACCGTGCGCCACCGTGCGCCACCTTGCGCCACCTTGCGCCACCGTGCGCCACCTTGCGCCACCTTGCGCCACCGTGCGCCACCGGGCGCCACCGTGCGCCACCTTGCGCCACCGTGCGCCACCCTGCGCCACCGTGCGCCACCGGGCGCCACCGTGCGCCACCGAGCGACACCGTGCGCCACCCTGCGCCACCGTGCGCCACCGGGCGCCACCGTGCGCCACCGTGCGCCACGAGCGACACCGAGCGACACGAGCGACCGAGCATCTTCAAGGAGAACATCGTGCCAACGCCGCTCAATCCAGCAGTGGAGAGAGAGAGAGAGCAAAAGCCGAGCGACACGCCGAGCGAGGGAGCAGCAGGAGCTTGCGGCGGCCACGCCCAATCGAGAGGAACATCTGGCCGCTGTTCGTATCCTCCCACACCACACAAGCTAACGACACAATTAATATTACGAGGGGACAACGCACACACAGCACGCACACGAATAAGACTTTAAAAGAAAAACTGTCTTTGCGTTTCAAAAAGGGTTGCCATTTCGAGGTGGTGCGTTCAATATCAACTGATCGTGCAAAGCAGTTTGCTGCCGTCGAGTTACATGAATAAGAAATGTTTGGTCATTCATTTTCGTTAACTGCATAATTTCGCCAATGAAGAAGTATTTTTAGTCATTCAATTTCGTTAATTGCATAAGATTGCCCATGAATTTATTGACGTATACTCGCTTTCGCATACTAGAGTGTCATGTGCTTGTTTAGAATTAAAATTGCTTAACACCAACTGTTCGAGTGCTTCTTTCCAAGTCCATGCAAAACTGTCTTATTCTTGACAACTGTATCCTGTGATGAGATCTGAACCTGGAGACCTTAAAAAATATAATAAACACACTAAGATAATCAGTAAATGTTTAATCGATGATAATCGTGTTATCCTGATTGATATAACCCTGGATAAACGAAACCAAGCCTAATTAACATAACTGCTTATATTAACATAATCGCAAGCATCCGCATAAATTACTACGATTATCTCTACGATTATCATAATTTATGCATATAATTACACGCATTATCATAATTTATGCATGTTAATACACGCACTATCATAATTAATGCGATTTGCGCATTTTTCGGAAAATTATTAATTTTTATTTTTTATCAAAATTTCATAATCCCGAAACATACAACAGTTGGCACGTGACGTTCGCGTGACAAACCTTACCGCTCGTCCGCGTGGGGCGGATGTGGGGTGCACAACACACATTGTGGCATTTTACCAAGCCAAAGGAGGTTTTTTTTAAATCACGAGTAGTAAATGATTCGATACGGAAATGTTCTTGTGAATCGACAGGAGATCGTCTGCACGGGGAAGAAGATGTGGCACCCCCCCCACGTGCCATCTACTGC